AGTCCGTCTCTACAGAAAGACCCATTTAATTAATACCGTACGTTAACTTGCAGTGTGCTGTCAGGTTGCCAGTAAGAGTTCTAAGTTCAAGGTGTCTTTCGGAGTTCCTACTGGAAAGAGTTATGCATATCTTTGATTGTCTTATTCCCTTTGACTTCCGCCAGTAGGCAGCAATTTGAGATTATTCCCAGCTAGCTCCTAAGTAGGTCTGCAGTGTATCCTTTAGATGTACCACAGAAATGCAAACGCATTTGGGCTTCACGCTTTGCGAGACAGTCAGGCCTTTCGTTGCCTTCAAACCCTTCGTGCGTGATGCTATTGTGGGCTCGCAGGCGGTTCAAGAGTTTACAAGACTTGATGCCGTTTTAAAGGACTCTAAGGCCTTTAACGCTGCCTGAATGTCCGACATAATATTCTGGCCACATTTGCCTTCTACGATGACATTCGCGAACACAGACTTCGATTGGGAAGACTTCCGCCTGAAATATGGTTGAGTACGAGCCCATCGGCAGACTTTTCTGGAATCTTGATCCAAGTACGCCATAAATTATATCGCTACCTAAAGGTGAAAAGGTGCCAAGTCCATTTTTTTTCAAAGTTTAGTTTTTGATGCAGAATGAGAGGTAATACGAGACTACATCGATTTTTCGTCTCTCCTGAAAAATTTCTAAAAACGGACTTGGCACCTTTTCACCCTTAGGTCACGATATATGGATGTTCGTATTGCATATTGGCAATAATAAGGTATACGTTTGTACTTAGGAATCAGGTATATTTACATGTTTGTGGCCGCCATTATACGAACGCACCGGTGAAATATTTGTGTAAAAATGTTGCTAAAATATTTGGAGATACGTACATATTTTCTATTTTTCGCATATAACTATTACTCATTGTCCCGAAACCTACCAAAACCCAATCAAGCCTACCAACCTACCAAATGGAAAAAAACCTACCAGTTTTGGTAGGAAAAGCCCATGTTTGGCAACACTGTTCTCAACCTCCCTGCAAGCCAAGGCACATAAATACAGGTAGAAGCCAAAATGACGTTGCTCTCATGAGAACCAAACCTTTAAACTTCAACTTGGCTTTCTTTTATTTCCTATATTTCGTTACGCTTTAAATGTCATGTCGTTTGTTTTTTTTTAATGTTCGTTAAAAACAAATTTTAATTAACATTTGAATTTGTGTAGTGTTGTGCGGTTTATAAATCAAATACCACTAATTTTTTTAACGTGCCTCAATGTCCTTCGCGTGAGGAGCGTTGAGAAAGCAGCTGTGGGGCAGAGCCGCAGCGAAATGCCTTGCTGTGCGTTACAGGCTAACCTAATATTCGCGGCTTGCGTTTTGGTACGCATGCCGTCGAATTTGTTTTTTTGCGTCACCCGAAATTGACTTGCATGTGTTTGCATTTGATTTCATTGAGCGAAACGTCAAATCAAAATGTCACGCAGAACAAAAATTGGAAATTGAGTTAGCTTCATATGCACGCCGTTCAATTTCGGTTGATCTCATACAAGTTGCATGTGCATGAGAAATTTTTGACAATAACTTGGCGGCGTGCGTGAATATTAGGCTAGCCTGTTAAACATATTAAAGCAGCAGATTTTATAAATGCACCGGGTGGTACAGGAAAGGCACGTTTGATGCCAAGTGCTGTTACTATGACTCTTAAAGTGTGTTTGCATTGTTCAACTTTGCGTTCAACATTTGCGTTCAACTCAGCGCAGGGTTGCACGAAAAAAAAGTTGTATGGCTAAAAATATCAAAATATGAAAAAATATCAAAATATTCGCCATAAAAAGGTGTTTGTATTGTTCAACTTTGCATTCAACTTTTGGTTGAATGGCCTTTCAACTAATCGCTTTCAACAAAGTTGGTCGCCAGCCAACATTTAGCCATTCAACTTTTTTTTCGTGCAACCCTGCGTTGAGTTGAACGCAATTGTTGAACGCAAAGTTGAATAATGCAAACACTGCTTTATGCCGAAAAGTCCCTCCAACAACACTGCAACTCATAAATCAAAGACAGAAAACAACAAACGAATTAACAAATTTTAACTAGAGAAAATAAATAAATAAAATTAAACTTCAAATTTACTTAAAAACGTCAACCAGTGAAATGTAATTTTTTATTTTTCCTTACACACGCTCATTTTTATTTTTACTCTCCCGAAAACTTTTGTAGGTTTGACGTCAAATTGGCTTCTACCTGTTTTTATTGCACCATGCCTGCAAGCCATGGCTAAGCAGTTTCCCCTCAAATTCGACAGATTTACACACACCTTCGCAACTTTTTAGCTATCACACGCACACATTTACAATTTTGGTATTCGAATTTTGAAAAATTTTTCATTTGCTAGAGCGGAATTCCTACTTTTATAGGAATTGTGTGCGTTAAAGCGAGTAAGAAATATGGCAGTTTTTATGACAGTAGGCTTTGACGAAAAATGTCACATTTGATACAAATTTTGGAACAAATGCACAATACCAACAAATATCGAATTAAAAAAAAAGAATAGGATCGATAGAGACCATTGAGGTGAACATAACGGTATATTTATTTTTTTTGGGGAAACAACAACTACAACAATTATTAAAGGTCAAAGTTCAAATTAAGCATTTTCTTAAATTAATATTTCTCGAAAACCTCTTCAAGGAATTGGTCATTTGATAGAGAATTTAATTCTCTTTAATTTGATATACATATTTATACATATACCTTTTTATAGTTTTCACAAAAATCGAATTAATGTGGAAAAAAAGTATATAGGGTTTTTGTGTATAAACTTCTTTTTCGTAGGCGGCATTCGGCCGCACTTATGGCCGCTCTTATGGATTATAACCCTCACAAAGTAGAATTCTCTTTCTGTGTTGCGAAGAAAAGGCGCTGAACACCTTTTGCAGAGAACACCTTTCTGCGTAGGCGGCCTTCGGCCGCGCTTATGGATTATAACCCTCAGGCAGTAGAATTCTCCTTTCTGTTTTGCGAAGAAAAGGAGCTGAACACCTTTTGCAGAGAACACCTTTGTATATTTTTAATGCTTACTGGGTTATATCCTATCTTCTTTTGTCTCTCATTCTTTTGCATATTTTGGAGTTTGACAGCTGAACTCCGCCATTTAATTTGCATATGCAACCAAAGTCAGACGCGTGATTTTGAAGGTGTTTTTATTTAATGAATTGTGATGAATTGGTTAATATTAAAGTCGTAAAGCAAGTTATAACAAATCAAGTAAAGTGTAAAGTGAAGGGGAATACAAAAATATATTCGTGAAGTGGCTAATTTAAGCAGAATAGGAGTGATAAATGTACGCTAATTTCCGAATTTTACAAAAAAGGGCATATTTCAAACCAAATTTGTAAATAAATTAGTAACCAAAATTTACAAAAGTGAGTGTTAAGATATTGCGTGGACCCTTGACTACAAGTGTGTGAAATTTTTTTTGGATCGGGCCACCCATTTGGACGGAATAGCCCGAAATAGTTGTGAGCGGTACTAAACCCCACCCGATATATGTATAAATATGTACATATATCAAATTAAAGAGAATTAAATTCTCTATCAAATGACATCAAATTTTCCGAATCCTTGGAGGGGTTCTCGAGAAATATTAATTAAAAAACCTGCTTAATTTGAACTTTGACTTTTAATATTTGTTGTAGTTGTTGTTTCCCAAAAAAAATATATATATCGTTACGTTCACCTCAATGATCTCCATCGATCCCAATATGATTTTTTTTAATTTGAGAATTGTAGGTATTCTACATTTATGCCCAAATTTTAGAGTATAAATATTTTTTTATAATTTTACAGACATTTCAAATTTCATTTTATGTTCCCGTTGCCGTTGCCGTTGACTTTGCATCATTATTTTTAAGGTATGTACATAAATATGTAAACTACTTAATTTGTGCATTTTAATTGATTTTCTGGTTATTACAGATTTGCAACAATTAAAATTACCATCGCCACCATCATCTTTAACGCCGTCACCAGCTGATATCGCACTCATCATCAATCAACACCTCCTCCATCACCTTTAATGCCACCACCAACATCGTACCATCACCTTCAACACCCGTACCAGAAGTATCGCCACCATCATCATTCAGCACCGGAACCAGCAAAATCGCACCATCAACATTCCACGCCTCTACCAGCAAAATCACCTTCAACATCGCCACTATTACTTTAAGGCCACCACCAACATCACCTTCATCGCCGGCACCAGCAATGTTATACACATCCACATCAATGGTCCTGTGCAATAATGACACAATTCAAAAAATAAAAACTGGTACTACTGTTAAGTGGTTCTTGTCTGTAATCCTCGTCTAATCCATTTCCAACCTTAACTAAAGTAAGCAGTAAGGATTGCTAAAGCAAGTACTAAATATTAGACACGGATTCGACATGGATTAGATATATGAGCCACTTAACAGTAGTAAGGGTTTTATTTTTTTAATTTTGAATTGTGTCATTATTGCACAGGACCATAGATATCTACAAAGTATGTTATTTGTTTGTACATATGTACTATAAGAGTTTTGTATTAATGAACGTTTTTTAAATAAACAAATGCATTTTTAAAAGTAAAAATTTTGATTTTCTACTTATTTGTTTTTTCCTGTACTGAGGAGTTTATAACGACAAAAATGAGTAGTTTGATTATTAGTGCTGAGGAGTTTATAACGACAACAATGAGTAGTTTGTTTATTAGCACTGAGGACTTGCTAATGACAATGAGTACTTTATTCATTAGCACTGATGTGTTTATAAAAACGAAAATAAGCAGTTTGGTAGTTGCTAGAGCAGAGCAGATATATTTTTCATTAATCAAAGTTTCCAATTAGTAAGAAGAGGTAAAATATTACACCGACAAAGGGAAGTGCTCAGTTTTATCCCATGGCCTGAACAAAAGTGAGTATTTTAATAAGCACTTTTGTAATTTGTGATAATGATAAAATGAGCACTTATTTGATGCTCAGCTGTCTTGCAGGGTTATAAGAAAAACATAAATCATATATTTACACGAATAAAATTGATTTTACATATGTATGTATGCACCTTCATCAAACAATTTTGCTTCATTTTGTTGCAGCGCCAAATCGTCTGTTCCAATTGGATCTATTACTTAAGTAAAAACTTCTGTTTTTAAATAATTCACAAGTAATTCGGATTTTTATAAATACCAAAGATATCGTCATCTAAAACTTCGCATACGATGACTTCAAACCGTCGGTCTGATTTTCCGGTAAAATTTCTTTTAAAGCCTGGTCAACAATATCACACTCCAAATGTTGTGTTTTAGCGGAGGGCCACCACCGGTTCCATATAAAGATTGTTTCTTTTGAGCACTGCGCTTCCGCATTTCCCATTTTAAATTTGCGTATTTGTTCGCAAAGCGCGTGCACTTCTTTTTTGGCCCGGACACATTGCGTTGAAGCTTTCCTCCACTTTCTCCCATTCCTTTTCCTTCTAAGCAGGTTTCACTTTATCTGTCGATTTATTTTCCAAAATGTGGGCATGTTGTCGTATAAGGCACATAAGACTTTCTATTTCTTCAGAAGAAAAATTTTTGGTACGCGAGTTTTCCATTTTAAGTCCACAATCATGATGCAATAATACAAGGTTCGATAAACTGACAGTTGTCTCTCTCGCACCGC